AGCAGCATGGAGGCGTGCTGGTTGTAGAAGTCGACGCTGTTGGAGCAGGCCGCCACCAGGTAGGTCCAGTTCTTCAGCTCACACCAGCGGACCTGCGGGCAGCCGGCGGCCGCCGGCGGCGGACCAGGTGGGGTGGCGCGGGACAGGCGCGCACCACGCGGGGGACGGAGCGGCGCCGGCAATAAAAGGCGGGACGGGCGCCTGATGCCAGTCGGGGCAGGGACATGCAGCCAGACAAAGGACGTGAGCCGCGGACGTGGACTCAAACAGGTGAGAACAGGACGGCGGTGAGGCTGACCTCAGCGTGTCAGAGCCGGCTGCGAGCCAGGCGTCGGGACCGGCACCTGCAGTGGTCAGAACACGGACAGACTGATGGATAGACTACAGACCGCCTACCCGAACACGACGAGTAATGCAGCGAAAGTGACTGACAATTACCGCAAGAGCTAACAAAGCACCCGCTCGCCTCCCTCGCCAGTCCCTCACGCCAGCGCGCCCGACAGCCGCTGCGCGCCGGCCGCGCCACCCGAGCCCCACCTGCAGCACGGTCTGGCCGTCCTCCTCGGAGCGGCCGCTGACTGCGCGTGACTCGACCGTCTCGTCGGCCAGCTTGACCAGCGATATCTGGTTCTGGTGAGGCCAGGCCAGCCAGGTGGCGTCGGCGGTGCGGCGCACGGCCAGACTGTTGGCGCCGGCCGCGCACGAGTGCGTCAGCAGCAGCGTCTTCTCACGCTCGTACATGGCGGCCGGGGCTGACGAGCGGCCGGGCGGAGCGCTGCAGGCCGCGAACACGGACGAAGTGAGGCTGGGCTGTTGGACAGGCGCTGGCCCTCGCACAGAGGTAGAGCGCAAAGGCCGCTACGAACGGACGTAGGGCGTTGAGGTCTTGGGCCTCACGCGGTGGCACAGGGAGGAAGTCACCAGAACTGAAAGCAAGAAGACCGGAGGTCAGTTTGAGCGCCGCTGGAAGAATCGGTGTGAAACTGCCCAGCAACGCCGTCGCCAGCACGGCAGCGGAAGTGTGAGAGGGGCGGGGGGGGGGGGAGGGAGCAATACCCCACAACCCAAACACTAGTGGGGCAACACATGCTTTTGCCCTCAAAATGACCGCATGCCAAACATCAGGCTCCAACTTCATCAGTTGCGCCCAGACGATGTTCTTCGCTTCATCCGACACCCGGCACAATTAACTTCTGTTGAACCTGCTGTGGGGTCGCTTGTCGTGAAACCGTGCACTGGTCATAAGGCACAAGGCTATGGACAAGCTGAAAGCCACCACAGCGTCGCCTGAATAGCCACCATGCAGGCTTCAGATCTCGCAGCATGCCATTGTTCAGTGCGCGACTGTCATCTCCGACATCCTGTACTGACTGCGAAGCCTGCCGAGAACGGCGACAGATGCCACCACGCAAGGACATCTCCTCCATCACTGCTCACAGACCACAACTGGACATTCCGCCCCCGAAGCTGGCGACAACCAGGATTTTCGGTGTGACGCGATCAAGGAAGTTCGACTTTGGAACGTAAGCCGGAGAATGCTCCAGCACACCTGCGTGCTATCCATAAAACTACCATCTCTGTACCACCTCAGCAAATTTGGCCCCCAGACTTTCTGATTGTTTACATCCATGGTCGGACAGACTGATCCTATCAATGAAACTCTGTTCAAAGTATGTCCCTACAATGGCCCTTACACATCATCCAGCACTCAGCCATGGTTGGACCTCTTGCACTGCCTGAGCTGTTCCTGGATGACCACATGACTGATGGTGCTCAATGACAATGACAACTGAGCTCCAGCCTAAGCTCAGGAGAGGCGATGCCTGTCCATCTCCTCAACCATGCAGTGAAGTTACATGGTATGCATTTGCAACATGTGCTCTTTCATACCATGCACATTTGTTTTCTGTGGGTACAAAATGTAGTTGCATATGTGTGCTGCTGGGAAAAGTACACACATTTAGTGCTGTTTTTGTGGAAGAGTGATGTGTGTTGTGTACTGGTCCACCCTTGTATACATAGAATGTGCACTCAGTTAGTTGTAAGGTTTCCAGAATGTGTTGCCTGAGTGATGCTTTGATTATAATAAACAAACCCTGATTGGGACATCATATGGTGCAGAAAGAGTGGCAATACCCATACCTTGCAATGTGCTAAAATCAAAGGCCCTGATACATGCACCAGACATAGCACATACCATATGATGGCCTATCTGTCACTGATGATGGCTTGGATTTGTCATGGGTCATAATCTGAGGAGCCTTCTAAGGTGGGCAGTCTGCACTGAAGATGTTAATTGGGCCCCAAGGTCTCAGATATGCCTTCCTTTCACTGACAATTAAATAATGAACTGAAAGTTCAGTGCAGTTTCACAGACAACTATGCACTCAGAACAATTAATGCAAATACTGGGACTCACAGTTGAGAATGAATCCAAGACTGGTTCAGATCATGAACTGATAAAAAACAGTTGAATCCCAAATATTGAAATCCTAAGTAAACCACTATGCACCAAAGAATAAGTCATCTCACATAATCATCTCATTCATACAATAGCCATCAAAGCAAATACTTTGCAGAGATGGACTTGGGAAGTCCGCTAAACAAAGCTAATTACAAAGAAGCCAACCTGAGGCCACCCTGTAACCCTGAGGCCCTGTCACCCTGTAACCCTGTCATCCTGAGGTCACCCTGTTACCCTAGGGTCATTAGATAGCCTTGAGCCAAACCCACCCCTTGTCTTGCAAAGCAATTTTAGTTCAATACTAATATAATAGCCAACAGTTGGCAAAAATTGTGAAGTGATATATTCTACTGTGACTTTTTTGGATGGCTGCCAAATAATCCAGAATAAATTAACGTGCCAATTTCACTTATATTCCACACTTTGTTCATGAAAATGAATTGCATCCAAGAATGTTATGCATTGCAAATGAGGCTGCTTTAGAATACCTAGGCAGCCTGAGTAGCTACTTTGCACACCACACATGCTCAGACCCCCTAACAGTTTTTTCAAATAACATAACACCCTGAATTCACTCTGGATATCAACCATTCCAACTGAAATATTTCCCCATGCAATGTTTAGCTCATTGCCATTAGCTTATTCACACCGCAATGCAGATTGGCTCCAGTTACTTGTCTCACAACAAGCTTTAAAACAAGATTTAGAAAACAGATAACAGTAGAATTAGCCTTATTCCTAAAAAAACAGGATAATGGAGATATAGTTTGGCAGTTATTTCTGCAACGTGCGTTTCTCGAAACAATAGCTGAAGTGAATGGCATTGTTGGCGACTTGGTTTCGAGAAAGGCATGTTGCCGAAATATCAACCCACCTATATCTCCATTCTCCTAGTTTTTCCGAGGAATAGGCTAATACTACTGTGTTATCTGTGTGACTAATGTCCCTCGCCAACGCATTGAACAACTTACAAGATTTGGAACGCGCATCTGCAGATAAGGAACCCCCTGCCGCCCAACAAACGGCTAATTTTCAGCAGAATGGAGAAATTCACGCGATCTACCACCCGCACGGCGTTCAGCAGCTCGCACGTATTACGTTTTCTGCTGCGGCATTTAACAAATGCGGCAAAAAAAGCACTGCGGCAGAGATACCAAATCAAGGATGTGGTAGGAATCAATAAATTCCCAGTCTTGCTCATTTCAAGCCCATTAAAACATTTTGCTGGTATAGGCCGGTATTTATCGTTTTTCCAAATCGTTTTGACATGCCTGAACTAAAAAATAATCGGGATTGCCAGCACTAATAAGAAGATCGGTACCGTTTCGAAGGAAAACATTTTCCCATCTCCCATGCATTTTCACCGATTCGTTTGAGCACTGCTCGGTATATTGCTTACAGATGGCAGCCCTTGTTCCCACGCCCATATCTAGGCCCACATCCGGTCTTGGACCGACATCCACCCCTAGACGGGACTCCATCCAGTCTGGGGATGGACCAGAATCCCCAACGGTCCAGTCCAGAATCCCCAAGGGGTATTTGTGCGCCTGGCATTGCATTCCGATAAGTTGGTACAAAGGGCACATGAATAACTGATAAATGACACCATGCTTCTCTGTGTTTTCACGTCCGTCCGTCCCAGGACCCAAGTGTCTGTGTCCAGGTGTCTGTCTGTGTTCTAGTGCCTGTAGTTCGTCCTCCGATGCATGTTCATCCATGAAACCTGTCCAGCTCTGGTCCCAGATCTAGCACTGTGCCCGTTTTAGTCCCAGTCCTCACCTTGACCCCGGTCCCACGTCCACGACCGGGGCCACGCCCGCCCACAATCTCACGTCCGGTTAGATCCTAAAAAATACATACTGTCAAAATTCCGACGGCTTAAGAGTGACTTCGTTTACGCATTTGCCCGTTAAAAACGGTGACTTCTGTCATTCTTTGAGCTTGTGTGGCGTGCGGCATGCGAAGGACATTTTGGAAACGTCTGCGTGCTTATATCCGAGACAATCCCAGTTGGTCGTATGGCACTGCATTGCACCGGTTTCGTTTTGAGAGTCACAAAGCACATTAACATCGGAGACAGTGTATTTATCGAGTCAGCTTCCTAATGCCCAAGTAGATCATCCCACTTGTCCCCAGAGTAAGTACAGGCACTGGATACGTGCATTGCAGCCGTAACCGGCTTACATCAACACGAGCTGGCCACAGTGCTGCTGCGACCTGCGTGGAGTCGCGAAGCTGGCCACGGTGCAGCTGTGACCTCCGTGGGCGCACGAAGCTATCAGCGCTGGAAACACGGCGGCGTTGAGAACATCGCAATAAGCCTTGCCGGAGCTCCTGTTGTATAATACGCTTCGGTGTTCACAGCCTGTGGCTTCGATAGGACGGAGTTGCACAACGTGGCGTTTGTGTGCCTGGCATTACATTCCGACAGGGTGGTACAAAAGGCATATGGATAACTGATAAATGATGCCGTGCTTCTCTGTCTCTTCCTGATCATGTAGACATCGCGACACCACACTTATTTTGGAGGCAGATCCAACCATAAAAATCAGACCTAGCGGCGTTTCGATCGCCGATTGTTCAACACACGCTATCCTGCCGCTCGCCAGGGAGCTGTCACGTTGCCCTGCTGACACTGTGAACCGGTGCGTTCCGGCACCTCACTCCAGTTGCTACCGGGGATCGAATGCGTCACAACTCGCACTCACACACACACACGCAACGCACACAACCGGCACACTCGTGTGCTGTCGACGTCACCCGCGTGTCGCGGACAGGCGCCTCTCTCGCCGCCACCGCGCCGAGGTAGCGGGGCACCGCGGCAGGCTCAGCATAGCACCAGTCCGACCGTCGAGCTGGAGCCGCGGCCAGAAGCGACCGCGGCCGGCGCGGAGTCCTGCGGTGCGCGGGGAACACGACCGTGTCACCAGGCGGAGCTCGACCTCGCCGGAGGGCAGGGCGAGCCCCTCACCAGCCGTGTCCCTGTGGCGGAGTCCCAGCTGTGGAACGCCGTGCCGCACCACAGGTGTTCGTCCAGGCCCGGTCACCGGGCCCGGTCGCGGGGTGAGCTCCAGCCGGGAGGTCAACGCCCGCGGCTGTTGGTCCGGAGTTGCGCTGACGCTGTCCAGCAGCTGGCCGCGATCAGAAGATGACCTCCAGCTCCTCGCCATCCTCCTCGCACTCGCCCGGGTACAAATTCTGCGGGAACGGCGCGAACACGGGTTAGTTTTGTTCCCGTGGGATTCGCTGTAGGGCACAGTGATGCGAACGTGTGAACGGATACACATAGCGAACAAGTGCAATAGGGTGTAGTGCGTGCCGGCTGAATATTGTGTCGCTGACATTGAGCTCAAATGCGTTGATTCTCGAGGCATTGTTTTGTACAATTGCGCACCACTATGACATGATACACATTACCATCATCAATGCACAGGCAAGCGCACGAACATGATTTTCGCAAAGGGATCACGCGCAGGAGCCCTCATGTGGTCTCTCCGGGGAGAAAACACGCTTTCCAGCACGGTTCCCATGCCTCGTCTTCGGAACTCGTAATAATACGTTTGGGGTTCTACAGTGAGTGACGTGAAATCAGGAACGTTTGTTTCATGCTTTCCAGGCGGCGGAGGCCCCAGCTTGCTACGAGAGGTCACGGGCCCGTGTGTCTCGCCCGTGTTTCCTTCAGTGGCCAACATGAATAACGTCTCTATGTCTCGTCAGCCGCGCCGCCCGGCTGCCAGTCAGACAAGGACCCCAGGCGGTCCACTGTGGCGGCGTCCGGCGACTCACGTCACAGCTGCCCCCGTCCTGTCCCTTCAAGTGACTCACCTCACAGTTGCCCCTGTCCTGTCCCTTCAAGTGACTCACCTCACAGTTGCCCCTGTCCTGTCCCTTCAAGTGACTCACCTCACAGTTGCCCCTGTCCTGTCCCTTCAAGTGACTCACCTCACAGTTGCCCCTGTCCTGTCCCTTCAAGTGACTCACCTCACAGTTGCTCTCGTTTTGTCCCTCCAAGTGACTCACCGCACAGTTGCCCTCGTTCTGTCCCTCCAAGTGACTCACCTCACAGTTGCCCTCGTCCTGTCCCTCCAAGTGACTCACCGCACAGTTGCCCTCGTTCTGTGCCTCCAAGTGACTCACCGCACAGTTGCCCTCGTTCTGTCCCTCCAAGTGACTCACCTCGCAGTTGCCCTCGTCCTCTCCTTTCAGGTAACTCACCTCACAGCGGTTGCCGCCCTATCCCTCCCAGTAACTCACCTCACAGCTGCCCTCGTCCTGTCCCTCTAAGCAACTCACCTCATAGGTGCCCTCGTCCTTTCCCCTCAGAGACTCACCTCACAGTTGCCCTCGTCCTGTCCTTCTCAGCGACTCACCTCACAGTTACCCTCGTCCTGTCCCTCGGCGACGGCCTCGGCCACCTGCTCGTGCACCACCGAGTCGACGTCGTGTTCGGCCGAGGCCAGCAACAGACCGAACAGCCGGCTGTCGAGGGCGAGGCGCGTCAGACGCTGACGTCGCACACTGACGCCGAGTCGGTCAGCAGGCTCACTTACACTGAGCCCTCACATGGAGGAATAAGTCAACAGGAGAGAGGAGGATGGTAGCGGGAATTACGTGTGAGACCACATAAACGGTAACAGTGGTAGTGGCTTGTGAAGGCAGAGCAAACATGTACAAATTTTTGACTTGTAATAATCGCATGTGATGATCGATGTTATTTTCATTGAGCGCATTCACGTGCTCGGGGCTCCATATTTCTGAACAAATGCTTGACTCCCAGCATTCTATCTCTACGACCTTTACGACGGATGCTGGCGCTGCTCACCCGCGAACAACCAGTAAAGGCTTGCGGCAGACAAGATAAATCACTGCATATACCAACCTGCCATCGGCTTATAACACCCTGATCGCTCATGCTTCCTACAACGTTCAACATAATGCTCAAAAATGGCGACTGTTGAACTGGCAGCACGATGCACGTATGAGAAAAAGGAAGACAAGTGTGCAACAGCCGCGCTCATTGCCATACGTCAGCTTGTCATATGGAGGTACGCATGGCTCTTCGACCCCGTACATCTGGCCTCAACCCTCGAGCTAGAATGCTGTGCACCAGTCTCGCGTCACGCGCAGCAGCGGATCTGACATCGCTCCGGAGAGCGATCGCAAGACGTACCTGGTGCCCTTCATGACGGTGGAGCGCACGCCGTACTCTCCCGCGTCCGTCTCCTTCGCCTCGCGGTTGGCGCGACACAACGCCTGCAGCAGACACTCGGGCTTCCTGCGAATCTGCCGGTAGGCGCTGTAGGCCAGCACGACCGGCTCGCCCAGCGAGTGGTCCAAGGTGTCCATGATGTAGTTGTCCTCCTTCTTCCCGGAGAGTTTCCGGAACACGCTCTTCGGCGACTGGTACACCTCGCTGTACGCCTTCAGCAGGAACTTGTACGTGTCATCACAGAACGCCTCAAAGTCTAGGTTTATGCCCATGGTGGCCACGGTGTCCTCCACGTGCGGGGCGGCCATCTCGATCAGCTTGCTCACAGACGTGTCGTACATGGTCGCCAGCGACGCGGCGCCCATCTGAATCTTGAACAGCGCCATCGGCTCCTTAAGGAAGTCGTGCGCCATCCGGATGTACGGCAGCGCCTGCTCGATGGCCGAACGACGGATGTCCTCGCTCTTCAGCAGGCCAAAGGCGTCTGCCACCGAGTCCATGACAGCGTGGAAATGACCCGCGATCTCGCGCTCGTTTTTGCTGTTCTGGATCTGGCTTAGGTAGGCGGTGATCTCCTCCAGGCCCTCCACTTCGGGGATCATGCTCGCGATGCTCTTGAAGTCGCCGCCACTGGCCGCCAGCTTCATCGCGATGTTCTGCATTGCCATCGGGTCGCTTCCGATGGACTCTAATGAGCCCATCAGTTTGGTCAGGTCAGGCACGTTCTCCATGACGCCCTCCGCCTTCTTGATGGCTTCTTCCACGGTGATCGTCGACTTGGCACCCTTGTTCTCTTTTTTAGACTCAGGCTCTGACTCCCTGTCTTCTTTCTGTTCGGATTTCGGCGCAGTCTTGGGCTCCTTCGTCTTCTCCGCGTCTTGAACCGCTTCATCCTCCTCATCGGTCTCATCCTCCTTTTTACTATCGTCCTTCGAGTCTCCACCGACCGGCTTCTTCAGTGGTGTCTTAAGCTTGTCGAGGAGGAGCTTGACAAACTCGGGCTCAGCGTTGTCCTTCTTCACCACGTTTCCGAGGATACCACCGAAGTTGGTGACAATCTCGCCGAGCTCCTTTGCGGAGGGTTTCTCGTCGGCGATGGCCTCCATCAGCGAGGGCAGCAGGCGACCGATCTGGTCCTCGGAGCCGGTAAACATGCGCATCACTTTCTTGATCTCTTTCATGAAGGTGGCGCCGTTCCGCGACCAGTCCCACTCCTGCTCGTCGACGAAGTCCTGCAGGAACGACTCGAATGTCTCCAGGGCGCTCTGGTCGTACACGAAGTCGGAGTCATCGACGGTGCTGGCGGCACGGATGCTGCCCAGCACGCCGGACGCAGTCTTCTCGAACTTCTTCAGTTGCTCCTCGCTCATTGTTTCCTTGAACGCCTCGTTCAGCCTGTCGAGCAGGAATGGGCTCGCCTGCTCGTCCTTGATCACCTGCATGAAGTTCTGCAGGATGGGCACCAGATCCTCAGTCTTCATGCCGTTTCCGGCGCCGCCCTTGCCAAGCAGACCGCTGGCCAGGCTAGCGAGGGAGCCGGCGCTGATGCCCTGGCTCATCAGCTGACTGAGGTCCACGCGGCCGGATAGCACGGATGTGAACAGCTGTCGCACCAGCGCGCCGGTAGCGCCACCTCCCTCGCCGCTCATCACCTCGCCGAAGTTGTCGAGGAACTTCTTGCCGTCGGGCGTCTCGGCGAAGATGGCCAGCTCGGCCAGCGAGGAGCGCAGCACGTCCGGATTGTAGGGATCCTTCATGAGGTCGAGCAGCGCCTTCTGCAGCACGGCCATCTGCCCGCGCAGGTCAGGCTTGTTCCGCTCGCGCGAGTACTTGTCGGCGCCCTCGTCGTCGGCGTCGTCGCAGTGACCGTCGCGGCAGCTTTCCTCGGCCGACGCTGCCGCCGCCAGCACGAGCAGCAGCAGCAGGGACGCGTTCTTCATCGTGGCTGACCTGCGGCACGAGGGCGGGCATGGTCAACACGGAAGGAGGTGGAGGGAGCTGAGTCGTGGAGTTAACGCTAGAACAGGTGCAGGGTTCTGCGTCAAATCGGACGAATAATGCAATATTTTGGTAGGAAAACATTAATTTCGTGACATTTGCCTCAGATAATCTGCTGCTTCTAGTTCTGTCTTCTGCCTTTTACTGCTACACCTATTTTTGGGCATTCACGGCCCACCTTTGGGGTGTTCACACGCCTACGATCTGGGTTTATGGCGTTCGCGATCCCCCTTTCCATGGATCGATAAATTTGTTAACGTGGGCTGTAAGTGTGCATATCACCCGCTGCAACGCCATAGCAAGCTTTGCAACTTGTTTACAGGATGCGGCTTTCCAACCCACGTCACCGAGAGCTTAACACAAAGCTAAAACCACAAAGTTTCGGCCATGCAATGCCACTTTGCACAATTAATGACATTTGATAGAATGCAGAACCTGGGCGCCAAACAGGCTCTGCAGTCATCTTTTTCTTCAACAGGAGGAAAAGATGAAGTGTTTTAGCAGCGTCCCATCAGCGAGACCTGACAACCCGCGGGGTCAAAGCCCTTTACCGGATGGCACACATCTGCGCGATATGTATTCACCGTCCCCTATTTCGCATTCCAAAAAAGCCATGCAGGAATCCACGATTGCTCAGATAGCGCGGACACCAGGCCGATACTTCGGTACGCCAGCAGGCCAGCTCGCTCTGCCTAGCCTGCCGTGACCAGCACCCTCTGTGGGCTGACGCTCCCGCACAGCTTCACGCTACAGTGACCCGTCACGCACGTCGCACACGTCGTCGACGCACGCCCTTTTATGGAGCGTCGGCGGCTGCAGAGGCCATGCTAGCGCTCAGGGGCCATGCCGCAGCCGGGTTCGAAGCCGAGCCCCCACGTGAGTGCTGAAGGCCACTCGACCATTACGCCCGTTTCCCGACGAACTCAGCAGGCGCCGGGTGAGCTCGGTCTCGGCTATCAGACCACACGGAGTCAGACGTCACGGAGTCTGATCTCACAGAGCCTGACCTCACAGAGTCTGACCTCAGGAAGTCTAACGTGATCGCTCACGGTGGGGCCCCGAGACGCCGGAGCCGGTCATTTCCATATGGCGCCCGTCTAGCGTGCACGACGGCCAGTGACCGGCAGCGGACCCTGACCGCCTGCCGGCTGCTGGCCGCATGCCACATGCCGCGACAGTGCACTCGTGGGAGCATGCGGAAAATGTGGCGATGTCTGACGTGATTTTATCACCAATCCTTCGGCAATGAACTCGATGCTCTGTCAATGCAGTTGTTGCCAACATCATGGACAGGGCGACGATGGTTCAGAAATAGATCTAACGTTAGCAATTTGTCCATTATGCATTTGTGTCCATGCGCCGACGACGCGTCGGGCTTAACCTGCTACAATTTGTCGGCGTTGTTAGCCCTGCAATGAATCACGAGACACTGCATCAGGTGCCAATACTCCAGCAGTACATCACTAGGAAACTTAATGTCAATATTTCAGCGAGGTATCAGCGTCGGTAACAACCCGACAATGCATTATCCGACGGTGAATCAGCCTGTGAAACCCATTATGCATTACCCTACCATGCATCGATGTCAAAGCCCTAACGAGGCATCAGTCGACAACGGCATTGTCGTAGCGCTAACAATGTGAGGGCGCGCCTGACAGCCAATTCTGGCGGAAAGACAGGGTTTCAGCATCTCAGGATTTCCGCCAGTTTTGGCAGAATTCCCGGCGTTAGGCGCGACTCAGCCCTCCTGGGCTTTGACCTTGCCACGCAAGATGACGATACCGGCGCGAAGTCTGGCGGATGCCGTTCGGGTTGAGGTCACGAATAAATCATGCATGCAGCGGGATGCTCGCTGACGGGCGCAGGGCTGCGGCAGACTGCAGGATGGGGGCGGCCAGCGGTGGATCGGGGGGGGGGGGGGGGGGGGGGGAGGACACCCGGTGCTAAGGCGCGCATGGGACGCGTTTGAAACCGCCGATGCTCATCGCATTTCCGTTTGGACACGTATTGTAATCTGCTGAGTCGGTTGACACCTGCCAGTTGTACCAGCTATGACAAATCAGGTCCAGAACGGAAGGCTGCTCACCGGTTTCAAGATACACCGCCATATGTGCCCGCTGTGAAATACAGAAGGCTGACGTTATTAACATGGCGGAGCCATCGTTCTACCATACCTGTTGGCAGTTATAAAGTCGCCGAGTCCGATACGACACCGGACGCGGTGCAGCATCGTGATCTCCCCCGGAAGTCCAAGCTGCGACAATAGGCTACATAATCTAAGCCAGTCACCTTCTTTGCTTGTTTTTGGCCTGTTAATTATTCACAATACAATATGTATAGCCGAGGAAGCCTTTCATGTGAAAGTGTTACGAAGGTCACTGCGTTTTTTTCCCTCTCAAATTTCAGAATGCAGGAATCGGAACGGCTATGGCATGGAAAACAAATTTACAAGTTCAAAAAGGAGCCTTTTTATGTATGCGCTTGATGTTTGACGTTTGATGGTGCATGGTTTTGGAAGCAATTCCAGTAGCACATTTTACTGAGTCGGAATTCATTAACTATTCAGATATGCCGGTAGCAATCGTCGATTAGTGAATTAAGATGCAGGGACAGGAAACTACAGCTGATATTCTTATCTGCCACTTCGCGTTGCAGTAGATGGCACGCTGCTGGCTTCCGCACCGCTTCTTTGTGACCAAAACAGACGTGACAGCCGGCTTTGGCTTTCGGCTTTCACGTGACACGCCGGCTTTCCGTTTGTTCGGCTTACGGCCAGACAAACCGCGGGAAAACACTCGACCGCTCTACACAGTGTCCGCCGTTTCGGTCCCCGTCCCCCTGCGCGTGACCGCCCGGCGCACGGTGGATACCCTCGGCCATCCCTGACACTGCCTCACCGGCTGCGGACGGGCACAGAAGGACCTGGCGGGAATGTCCGGCGTGTTTCCCCCCCCCCCCCCCCCGCCCCGCTTGAGCGGACGGCCAAAGACACCCGGCCGGCAGCCGCCGGGCAGGGGCTGTGTGCGCTAGGTATGAGGTACCCGCCGCGGGGTCCGGCTCTTACCACTGTGTTTGTGCTTCGCTGAAACCGCTGTGCGGAGTTGAAATGTGAAATGCGAGTTGCCAGTCAAACATCAGTCTGGCCACAGCATGCGTGCTTCGAGTTTCGGGAAAGAATGCGGCTGGTGTCATAGGCCCGTCCAGGGATGCGTGCCTGCCGTGCTGGCGCTGAAGGCGAATTATTTGCAGACAGGCAATATGTTGCAACCAAACTGTACAGGTTTCAGAACTGTCGTCACCAGAATCCAAGCAGATTACCTGGGATTGTGTTTAAGTGCCTGTGCCTGATGCGAGTGCAAGTTCTAACATCAAGAGGATACCTGTATAAATGACATTGCACATCCACGGACCTACATCACGCTGCATCGATGGTGAGCGGCTAATATTTAGTTTGTAGCCGAACTCACCTCGGGACGTTTAAAAAAAAAATGAACGGAGCTAAGCAACGCAGGACGGCAGGGCGATATACTGTGCCGGTCAGTACGTGACGAGACCATAGTTCCCGGCAGTTCCATACAGAGAGAGCGGAAGAGAGGGTCAGAAGAGACAACCACCCGCCCTCTGTAAGGTGACGTTTGGTATCCACCTAGACTTGCATAGAAGGAAGTGAGGTAAAAATTGTGTTTACGTTATCGACCTTATCAGCTCGTAGGATGCGCGGCTGCCGGTTCCAGGCCTTGTCGCCACCCGCAAGCAACGCGCAAACCAGCTCAACGCGCAAGTAACGCACAGCCCCCGTTAATGGCACCGGCAGTCAGGCTCTCCCGTTAATGACACCTGCAGTCGGACTCTCACCAGTGGGTTCGGAGGCCTCCGCCTGAGTCCTCGGCCGGTCACTGCCCGGTCTCCGCGATGTGGCTGGCTCACGCGGACGAACGGACGGCCGGCGCGGGGGACTGCGACGCGGCGTGACGGCGCGTGCCTGGCTAGCACCACGTCAGCGGCGGCGGCGGCGCCGGGCGATGACCCGCCGGTCTAGCGGCCCGGCCGCCCGCCGGCGCCGCGCCGGGTAAACGGGTGAAGTCACGACCGACCCGACCAGCCGCGGAAGTGCGCCGCGGGGAGAGGAGGTCCGAGGCGGCCGGTAGAACATCCGGTCGCTGAGGAGGGAGGGGGGGGGGGAAGCAGAACCGGTTCTCGGGGAGGGGGGACGGGGTGGGTGGAATTATTTGAGTCAGCTTTGGACCAAATAAACTGCCCCTTAGATGCGCGTCGTCGAGGTGTGATAGCAGTGCTGGACCATTTGGTTTATAGATACTTTTCATTGTTTGGCCTTGTCAGTTAGGAAGAAACAGCACTCCGTTTTGTTACACTTGCGACGTTAATGCTACCTAAACGTCCTTTTCGGCCCCTTAAGAATAATTTTATCCGGTCTGGTAATGTTCCTAGAGGCCATTTATGCGCATACGGAGAACAGCCCCAACTTTTGTTACAATTCATGCAACTTAGGAAGTTTTCATACTGGACAGCCTATCTTATTCACACTTATTTTAAATGACTGCAGCTGCATTATTTGTATGCTTCAATTCGCTTCGGTGGCTAAAGAACTATTGCAAACGTAAACACTCTGCGTAATGATTGCGAATAAAGCCTTGCTTCCAAATTTTGATTTTTATTTACTGGCCATGTTCTAATACCGTTTTAGGGCATATATGACGCAAAGGTTACAGTTCGTACCGCATATCGGACAGCGGCGCGAAGAAACATAATCATGGAATATAACTTTGATGTCAGAAAGCGACGCGGTATTTGGATGGACCTGAGCTCCGGAAAAGTGGACTCAGTTCTGGGGACGCGATTATTCTTACCAAAACCTCCTTCGCCAAACTGAGGATGGACTTTGACGAAGATGATTTCATCTTTATTGAATCTGGTATGTTGGGTCTGTCAACATCCTTTCGGCATGGTTCGGTGGACTCATTAAGGATTGCGCAGCTTATCACCATTCTTGTCACAATTAAGTTGATATTGTTTTTTAGGGAAGACCCTTGGATCACAATGATTCTTGCTAGGCATAGCTTGTGAACATGCATATAGCCCCAGTCTGCAACCCATGGTAAACATGTCAATTAAAGAATAGAGGCAGACAGCATCTTTCCTCAAATAGGATAGTTAGCTGCTCATTTGTGGCATTTTTAGACCTTAATTTCTCCCTAAAAATTACCTGCTCACTTGGGACATGTTTTCACCAGTCTTACACCCTAAAACAATTTGCCATCATATTCAATCATTTTCTTTGATTTTATCAATTTTGTGTATTAAAGAAGACATTATGATGCCCCAACAGTCAAATTTAGTATTTTCTACATCCATATATTGATAACATGCCCCAAATTGAAAGCCATGTTGCACCTTTCCTCCATTGATATTGGGCCAAAATCTGCCGTAGTTGGCAGACTCCGTGCAACAGGAATCTTTCTGAAGGGAGGGGAAGAGCGTGAAAGGTTAGGTTTCCCCACTCCTGCAGTTTAAGACTGAGGTCATAAAAGCTTGTCCAGCAATAAGTGTAAATCTCTTTGCTGACACATAATCTCTTGACCACAGCCTCTGTGACCCCCATAGCTTTGCTCATATAGACCTATGTCCTATTACTGTGTTTGAGCAATTCCAGCACCATTTATTGCTTTGTCAGTGGGTTTAGATTGACACATTGTCATGACCCAGTTACTCCTGTTTCAAAATGATGTTTTTGATCATTTACTAACTGACAATCAATTAAAAGTGATTCATGCACGGCTTAGGACATTATCCCACTTGTTGAAACACATGTCCAGAGTTTTTAATGCTGTAGATGAGCCACAGAATGTGCAGCAAATTGTTCCCCTACTTTCTCAAAAATATTGTATGGGTGTCAACAAGCCTCAATGTTTTTCTAGGTCTCTGCTTCTCAAAGCCAGAAAGATTTGGATGTGCCTTTGGTAGCTTCCAGTTCTTACCTATCTTGCCATTGTGTCCTCAGTATTATAATATGCTCATCACCCTATGGATTAGGAGTCCAGCATTTGAGAAAACTCATTTTCTTGCTAATTAACTACTTGTATTTGGAAATTGTAAAGGTAATTGTTCACATTCCTTGTGCAGTTTGCCATTGGGATATCATCAAACCAATAGCATTAAGTTGAGCCATTCTGTCATGAGCATACATTGTTGTGCATATATGAAAGGCATGTCCTGATGTTGCTTCAGCTTCAGTTTTCCATGTATTTCCAGCTGATGCTCCTGTGGAAAGTCTCAAACCACTGACACCATCAAAGGCGGGACGGTACAGACCTCAACCAGCATATGCGAAGCGTACAGGAGTGGTGGATGATGCAGAACCATCTAGCTCAAAACCAAAGCTCAAGAGGAGCTTCAGAACCAGTCCTGAAGTTCCTGGGTGAGAAAATCCTTAATCAACTGCTGTATCTTGTCAGAGTCGTGATGTTCCTCGATCATGTTGGTCTTAGTTGCCCGATATCGCGAGCCAGCCATGAATGCTGAACAGAATGGACTTCAAGGCTCACACAATCCACTATCAGGTCAAACTAAATCTGCTTCGCTTGTGGGTCATGGACACTGTGACCAGGCAGTCACGGGCTGCCTGTGAGCCCAGGCCATCCTCACATACTGCAGGCCCTGATTGCTGGACTAGGGCTAGGTGGTCGGCGGCATGGGATCCGCTGTCACCGCCAACATTCCCGCGCCGGCTCGCCCCTGGCTGTGCGCATTTAGCGTTCTGGCGTCAAACGTCATGTTACACTTGTTATTTATCAACAAGCTATTTCCATCATCATTATCTAAATGATGATATCTAATGATTATCATGATATAAATGATGATACTTATGATGCGGTGCCATCAGGAAGTCCATGTGTGCATATTGTTGGGCGGACACGATGCTTTGGCTCGATCCCGGTGCGTCTGACGCAGTTCGGCTGACTTCGTCGTGCGTGTTTTGCCGTGAACAGACCGGACGTGGCGGGCCAGTCGCGACCGGGGAAGCGCAGGAAGAAGGGCGCCGACCCGGACAGCGAGGAGGAGCGGTGGTTGGACGCCCTGGAAGAGGGCAAGCTGGAGCAGGTGAGACAGTGGTCGAGCGCTGTGCAATTGATGGCGGCTTGCCTTCGCACACGTATGGCCACTTACTTGCGAGGTGAACGGTCGGACAGGCATAAGCCCAGTGCTGTCGGGCTTGTTCGCTTTCCAGCAGCGCTGTTGTGCAGTCGCGCGTATAGCGTGCGCCTGGATTACCTGGCGACGCATGCAAGACGCGCTATTATTTTCTAAATAAAACGTTTGCGGATTCATCAGACAGGCGTTTGTAAAGAGCTGGTTTTCGAAACGTTCTCCATCCAGCACCGCGTCTGTGCCGTCCCGCCCGTCCTCCAAAGCGCAGAGTCTGTCCGCTGCTGTCGGCCTGCGCGGCACCATAATGTGACGTCATCAAATGGCCCGTGCGGCGCCGTAGGGTGACGTCATCCATCGCCGCTGCAGGTGGACGATGAGCTGCGCAAGATGCGGAACCCGCTGCTGATGACGGCCCGGCAGCGGGCGCTGCTTGAGAAACGCTCGGGCGACGACAGTCTGGAGAGCTTCCCTGGCCGAGCCGCTGGGTGGCGCTGCCGTCGGGTGAGTCAGACGCGGCCCCTTCGGGCTACAGTCGCAAGGGGGGGGGGGGGGGATGTTCAAGGGACGGTGTGGCGGAGGCTGGAAGAGGGGGTGGGGTGTTTCAAGGGACGGGTGAGCGCAGAGCTGGAGGAGCTTCCGCCCCCAGCGACGCGCGGAGGGGGCGCGGATCGCTCTCCAGTCTGGTCTGGCCGAGGACACCACCGTCTCATCCCTTCCGGCGATTGGCGCGATTAGTCGGATTTGCTCAGTGATGTGAGGATGTTCTGCGCGTCATCGGACATTCGCATTGATTGAAGCGTGCGCCTGCGTTCGTCGCAATCGTAGCCGCTCAATTCTCGAGTCATCTGCGTGTGTGGAGCACGGCACCCGCTCAGTTTCGTCGCGGCTATTAACACTCGTCAGGACTGCGAGCAGCTGTGGTGCATCGGAACTGGGTGTGAAAGAAGTATGTTTGGAAGGTTCCATTTTATTATTCGCAAGGTGCTCAAACTTCAAACACGGTAGCATTTTGACAATCACTCCGTCATGTGTGGAGGGCTGCGGCTTTGCATTAAACAGTTGCAAGGGAACAGCACAGATAACTTGAAAATCGGGCTTTAAAAATATAAATCCTTGGTGTGCTACAAATTTTCATGCACTCGTTGCTCACAACTTTTTCAAATTTGTATCCATTGTATCAAAAAATTCACGAGGCATAGAGAACACCTCAAAATACCCTTGCCGTTGAACTAACTGCTCTGGTTCGATATGCTTCAGGCTACGCGCCAAGTCTGAAATGACGGGCAGAGATGGCTGAGCGGCACAAGAAGAAGACGGAGCGAGACGCCGAGAGCAGGCCAAGAAACACCGAGAGAGGAGAAGGTAGCCATAACGCCGGAAGTCAGCGTTGTGCGCGCGTTTAATGGTCACAGGCATCGTGCGCGTGGCTTTCCAACTGGCACCCAATTATTCTGTCCTCGGTGTACTTCGACGGGCTCGGGACCGCGCGATACCCCTTATTTTGGGCCGCCCGTCCAGCCCTCCAGTGTCTGACCCGGCCCCCTTGTCTGACCTGGCTCCTGTGTCCGACCCGGCCCCTATGTCTGACCCTCAGTGTCTGACCTAGCCCGCGTGTCTGACCCAGCCTTCCGTGTCTGATTACCCGACCCCTGTGTCTGACCCGGCCCCCTTGTCTGACCCAACCCCGTGTCTGATTCGGCCCCTGTGCCTGATCCGGCCCCTGTGTCTGACCCGGCCCCTGTGTCTGATCCGGCCCCTATGTCTGACCCTCAGTGTCTGACCTAGCCCGCGTGTCTGACCCAGCCCTCCGTGTCTGATTACCCGACCCCTGTGTCTGATTCGGCTCTTGTGTCTGATCCGGCCCCTATGTCTGACCCGGCCCCTGTGTCTGACCGGGCCCCTTGTCTGACCTGGCTCCCGTGTCTGACTCGGCCCCTATGTCCAACCCTCCGTGTCTGATCCAGCCCCCGTGTCTGACCCGGCTCCCTTATCTGAGCCGACTCCCTTGTCTGACCCCACTCCCTTGTCTGACCCGGCCCCTGTGTCTAACCTATCTCCCCGTGTCTGACCGAGCCCCCTTGTCTGACTCGGCCCTCCGTGTCTGATTCGGCCCCCATGTCTGACCCGACACCCGCGTCTGATCCGGCCCCTGTGTATGACCAGGCCCCCCTTTCTTTCCCGGCCCCATGTCTAACCCTCCGTTTCTGACCCGGCCCGCCGCCTGTCTGCTCGCAGAAGAAGACGGTGAGCCGGCTGTTGAACAAGGCCGACTCGCGGCCGGGCCGGGGCGGCGGCCGGTCCCGCTCGCGGGCCGCGCCGCCGGCCGTCACCTACCGGCAGACGACAGAGGGCGCCGAGCTGAGCCTACCGCCCGGTCTGCCGCCGCCGCTGGCCGCCCAGCCGCCCAGGTCAGCCGCCGGCGCGGCCGGTCCCAGCTGCCCGGTCCCGGCAGCCTCCTCCGGTCGTCCGGCTGGGCGGTGTACGGTCCCTCCAACGGCGGGAGCGTGTGGACCAGACGTTAGATATACTGGACAGTCTAGTTAAGCGTTCTGCGACCGTAGCCTTACTCTCACTACTCATAGCCCAGCGTTTGTGATTTGTTTTGGCGGCGCCAGGTGCGCCCAGAACTGCAACAGCAACTGTTAATTGCTTCGAAACCGCTTCGCGGCGGCGCCCCCGGCAAGTTACCATCGCTCCGCTGACGCCCGTCCCGCCGCCAGGGAGCCGCCGAAGCCGCGCCTGTGCGGCGTGGCGGCTGCCCGGAACCTGCGCCGCTACAGCTGCGCGCGCACGGGCGTGTCGCTCTGCAGTCTGCGCTGCTTCAACGCCAACGCGGCACTCCGAAGACCGCCAGCCAGCCGGTCCTAGTGTATTGACGCTTGGGCGGGCTCCCCGCCCGGGCCGAGCGCAGGTGCGCCACGCTACGGCGCGCGGTCGGCTCCGGCGGCGCGCGACGGCCGCGCGGAAGCAGGCGGGGCGCGAAAGACTCCGGCGCGCTGACGGCCCGCGGCAGACGACCGGACACGTACAAATCGGCAGTGGGCGGGGTCGCGCAACGGCGGCGCGGCGGCGGGCGGCGGCTACAGCTGCTGCTGTCGTAGCCGGCCACTCTTGGCGGCAGCGAGCCGGGCCGCCCCGGCGCGCGTCCCGCTGGGCCGGCGGCGGCGCGCGCGCCGCGAGCCGCGCCGCTCACGGGCGCCGTAGTCGGCGTAGTCGCCGTCGCGAAGTAGTCGTAGTCGTCGGGCACCAGGCCGCTGCCCTGGCCGCCGTCCTCGTCGTCGCCGGTTGAGAAGCCCGGGTCGAAGCCGTCCGACGACTCGGCCAGCGCCCGGACGCTCTCTGCACGGCGGAGAAGCCCATGAGACCAGGAGAGGGGGGGGGGGGGAGGGGGGG